TTCGAGGCCACTCCTGCTCTACACAGGTAGCCACTGTCAGTTCAGAGATGTCATGTTAGGAAGAATTTAAGAGCCAGGTCTGGTCTGTGGGCTGTGACGGCAAAGTGTATACACGGATTCAGTACATAGTTTAGCACTTCCTCCCACATTCAATAACTAGAGTGCGCTTACCCGTGCTTTAACATAGTGAATTCTACCACACTCGTCTTGCTGAATCACCTTATTCGCACATTTCTAGTTAAACAGTAAATTACATAGGAAGTGAGTCCATGATCATAGCAGAAATCCATACTGAAATCCATAGCAGAAATCCAAATGGCATACTGTTTCTAAGCTGCTGATTCATTGCTCCCTCCTTTCTGCACTGTTGGGTCAGTTTTGTTCTTTGCGGCATAACTTTAATACATTTACCATCCATGTTTCTTCTCACACCAGAACTTGCCTTTTATCAGATGCTATAGATTGATTCAAGGCATTTCTTTGGGTTGGGTTATACTGTTTCATTGAGTAAAGATGAGACAGATACTGCTTTTCTACCACATCCTCTCAATTAAAGAGACAGACAATAATTCTTAAATTCACCTCAGCTTCTTGCCTCTTCTTCTACCAAAATAGATGAAATTTCACATCTCAGTAATGTTTCTAATAATGAATCATTTTCTGACATTCAAAGGAAGACTTTCTATGAATCTTGCTTAAATAATAGCATATGCTTTAGGTACAATCCTGGTTATTTAAAGAAGAGAATCTAAAACCTAGAACTGTAACAGATTACCCCAAAACTTAGTGGCTTAAAGCAACAGCCATTTTATTATTATTTCTCATAATTCTGTGGCCCAGGAATTTAGACAGGTAACTAACAGCAGGGGCGACTTGTCTCTACTCCAGGATGTCTGGAGACACAGCTGGGGACTGGGGGCATCTCTACCCCTCTCCTCTTTCTGCATGGTCTCTGGCATGGCAGCCTCGGGAATTGCACTCCTCACAGGCTGGCTCAGGACTCCAAGAGCAAGTGTTCCCAGAGGCCCAGCTGCAAGGCTTCTTATGACCTATCTATAGCCATCCAGGAACATCCCTTCCATCCCATCCTACTGGTCAGTCAGGTCTCTAAAGTCAGCCCAGATCACTGGTTGGTAATTAGACCCACCTTTCAGTGGGAGGAGTATCAAAAGTATTTTTGGCTATCTTTCATCTACCACAAAAGCTTAATAAGGTGTTGTTGTTATATATACTAGTGTTAAATTCTAAGTCTGATTTGATGAGTGTAAAAACTTCTGAAGTTAGTAAAATTAGTAAAAAAAAACAAACTAAGAAATTCATTTTCTGCTTTTGTTTTTTGTTTCTTTCTTAGAAATAATGTCTTGGTATTTTAAAATGTACAGTCCGCATCAAAGGACTAGAGGGAATGTGTAGAACATTGGTAGATGAGCTAAAGTAAACCTACAGTTTGACCTTTGTTAAAGTAAAATGAGACCAGTGTGATCTTTGTTCTAATGATGTATTTTCAGAGAAGAATCTTTTTAGGACTGTCCCGTCACTTGACTATTTCACAAACTTTCTCCACATTTAAGAGATCTCAAGTATGTAATTGTGATGGCTCTACATGCGTAAAATTGAAATCTGAGCAATCTCTAGAATGAACGAGATATATTACATGACATGTGGATTTGAGCTAACCAGGAGCACGCCATAGGTCAGAAAAAGCTTTACACACTCAAATGAGTTATAGAAAGGAGAAGGGCACACACACACCAATGCTCTTTTTGTTCCTGTGCATTCTTTTGCCAGCTTAGAATTTTTAAACTTCGTCTTCTTAATCCAAGCAGAGAAAATTCTCCCACTTTCCACTTGGTCCTGATTCTTTTTGTAAAATGCCAATTCTGGCATGTCATCTATATTGCATTTGCATGGGAATCTGAACTTAATAGAAAAAGTGGGCGTAATTCCTTCCTGTACGATTCCATTGAACCAGTAGTTCTCAGATTTTATGGCACCTTCCTCTACGCAGAGCAAAGCACACGTGACAAGGAGAGGGGAAATGGCAGAACTGACCACTGTTCACGCTGGGACCAATAAACACCGTGATTCTGATCTCTGTAGCTCATGAGGCATTAAATTTTTGTTAAATTAATAAAATTTAAAATTTTATAGTTTCTAAATTTAGTCTAAATGATTTTATAGCTTTGGTACATGCTGAGACTTGGTGTTGGGAGGGGGCAGAAAACTTAATTAGTAGATATTTCATGGGTTGACAAACTTCGGTCCTTGGATAGAAGCTCAAATACCATTTTTCTGCCTATCTTATTAAACTAGGAGGCTTTTTACTTGGTTGTTAAATTGTGTTCTTTAAAGTAACTTCAGGCTTTAAAAATGTGATTTTGATTGTGAAGCAAACTACTTTCACACAGTTGCTTCAATATAAAATTTGTGGAGACAACATGATAAAATTATTCTTCTTAATTTTTTATTGTGGTAAAATATAATAACAAAATTTGCTGTTTTAACCTTTTCTGAGCGTACAGTTCAGTGGCAGTAAGTACGTTCACACCATTGTGCAACCATCACCACCATCCATCTCCAGAACTTTTCTTTCATCCCACACTGAACCTCTGTATCCATTAAGCAGCTACCCCTCATTCCCCTCTCTCTGAAGCCCGTGCTAGCCACCATTCTACCTTCTCCATGCATTTGACTACTCTAAGGTACCCCATACAAGTAGAGTCATACAGTATTTGTCTTTTTGTGTCTGGCTTATTTCACTTAGCATAATGCCCTCAAGATTCATCCATGTGTCAATTTTATTCCTTTTTAAGGCTGAGTAATGTTCAGTTGTATGTATACCACATTTTGTTTATCTGTTCGTCAGTGGACATTTGAATTGTTTCCACCTTTTGGCTGTTGTTCATAATGCTGCTATGAACATTGGAGTACTAGTTATCTGCTTGAGCCTCTGCTTTCAGTTCTTTTGGGTATATACCTAGGAGTGGAATTGCTGGATCATATGATAATTTTATTTTTTGGAGGAACTGCTGTACTGTCTTCCACAGTGGCTGCACTGTTTTATACTCCCACCAGCAATGCACAAGGGCTCCAATTTCTCCACATCTTCACCAGTACTTGTCTGTTTTTTGGATAATAGCCATTCTGATGGGTATGAAGTGGTATCTCATTGTAGTTTTGCTTCGCATTTCCCTAATGAAAACTGTTGTTTCTTTTATATTTTGCATTCATTTATATTTAAAGGTGTTATTTTTAATTCATGAACTGCATATGAACAGTGTGGAAAATACTCTCTATAAAATGGTTGACCTATTAAGCTAAACTTCCAGTTTACACAAGTATTTGAGAGGATTACAGTGCTTTATTTATATTGATTTTTTAAGTATTTACAGCAGTTTTAGGCCAATGTGGTTGTATTACTTTGTAGTAAATGGTTATATGGTTTGGGTTAGGAAATACATGATTTTGTTATTGTTAGAAGAATTCCTGTATCCACTTTTTTTTTATTCAGTAATATTGAAAGTTGGTGAATGCCATTCGAAAGTTGGATGTTGACTTAAGAGGTCAGTGCTCTCCTTCTTAAGTGTTTCTGTGTAGACAGTCTTTATTTCCTTGGGTTTCTAGAACAAGACATACTATAAGGCTGAAGCTTTGCTCCCAAGAGTATCTATTATGATGCCTTATTCCTAGAAATAGAGGTGTCAACTGGCAACCCACACTCATTGACAGGCCAGAATGAATGAGACTATAGAACAAAATATATATTTTTTAACATCTTTATTGGAGTATAATTGCTTTACAATGGTGTGTTAGTTTCTGCTGTATAACAAAGTGAATCAGCTATACATATACATATATCCCCATATCCCCTCCCTCTTGCGTCTCCCTCCCACCCTCCCTATCCCACCCCTCTAGGTGGTCACAAAGCACCGAGCTGATCTCCCTGTGCTATGCCGCTGCTTCCTGCTAGCTGTCTGTTTTACATTGGTAGTGTATATATGTCCATGCCACTCTCTCACTTCGTCCCAGCTTACCCTTCTGCTTCCCCGTGTCCTCAAGTTCATTCTCTATGTCTGTGTCTTTAAAGTAGGATTCTTGAAAAGTTTAGGGCCTTCTGTTTACTTCATTTCTCTATACAGTTAAAAAAATTAATGTATATTATTTATTGCAGATTTGCAAAATTGTAATTGGTTCCTGTAACTGAGATAATTTGGGTCTGAGTAGTGTTTTGAGATTCTGAACATAAAGGGGAGGATAAGGTGTGAGTTGTGATAAAGAACTGTGATAAAGCTGTTTTAATTTTTGGCTTACCCAGTGGGTTAGAGTAACAATATATACAAGACAGTACTTGAATTCTGAGAGCTGTGTGTAAGATTAGCATGCTCTTCATTACTCCAAGTAGCAGTTCTGGGGTGAAACTTACCTCTGGTTCACTAATGGTAGCGATTGGCTGAGCAAATTCAGATTTAGAGCACCCGGTTGCTATTAGATGGTTTAACATTAATAGTAAGGTCATTGTCCACACACATTCTTGTTTAGAATTGTGTATTGATGATACTTTTTCCTAACAAAGCATCTTGTTAGACTGTCACTAAGACCAAGTAATGAATAAAAATTGCATAATTATATAAAAAATACAAATACCCTTACATCTGGGAAATAGCGTAAAGGGTACCATCTTTTTATGTTTATTTCTTCGATCCTGCTTCACTTTGGTAAAGAATTGACATCATTGGCAGTTCTGAATAGCAGTTTGCAAGATGTCCCAGGAAACTGGGACAGTAAATAATGGATAGAATATTGCCATTAAATGAAGATAAATATTGATACTTCTTTCCCCACTGCTCTGACCCTGTACCTTTCTGCTCTTAATGTGTAATCACCTACTTTATCTCTAAAAATTGCTATTAAAAGTAAGACTTTAATCTGGTTTATTTTTGTGGCATTCACTATTCTTAGTCCCTGATATAGATTAACATGTGCCCCTCTTTCTCCTCTAGAATGACTCTGTTCATGGTGATTATATGCAAAGTAATGAGGCCAGTTTAATGGAACAAGCCCCGATACCTCATGATGGACTTACTGTGGCACCTCATAGAACCCAGCGAGAAGGTATGCTGTATTTTTCCTAAACTTTAAAACATCTGTACACGAAAAGATTGCAGAGCGCTACTGACATTGGTTAACTCACTCCTCTTTCTCCTTTTTGAAGTAGAGAAATCCTACAGGTCCTGGGTTTAGCTCAAATGCCAGCCCTCCCACTTCCTTGACTCTGTGTCTGGGCTCTGGCTCTGCAGCCCCTGGCCTGTCCCAGCCCATGCTTACTTGGTTCTGCCTTGTGGTCCCTTGTCTTAAATCTGATTGCATACTTCTGGAGGACAGAGACCTTAACCTACTCCCAGAGTATTAGCATAGTGCTTTATCTGTAGAACGTGCTCGGTGTTTACTGAAGAAATTAATTTTACAGAAGTTCACTGCAAGAGAGTGAAGAAATTCCTTACAAGCCTGTTCTTCCTGCAGTAATGCAGTTTTCAGGGGGACTGGGTGGAGGAGTGAAAGGACATTGCCACTTGAAAAGAAATGAGTTCAGATATTCTCTTCTCCTCACATCTGGGGAGTCCGTTAACCTGTATTGAGGGAAATTTGAAATGGCAAATGTAGACTGCCACCTGGGTGGTCTTGGAAAGGTGAAGGATGTACAGTTAGCGTCACACTCAGTTATAACAGCTTTGAATTGATGTCGTTTTGCTTCCTTTTAATTCCAGTAATAATCCTTTCGTGTAATGCATTTTTCCTCATGGAAGAAAAATAGGTGTGAATGTTTAATGTTTAGAAAATGTTTACAGAATTACCACTTCTATTCAAGACCATTAAACTACTCGAATCATGAATGAACTGCTTCAGCCAGGCTCAGCGAGCCTACCAGTAACCTAGGGCAGAGTTTGGTTTTGCCGTGAAGGTCCCTTTTTAAAAAAAAGTAAAGATATTTAAAAAAAAAAACATAAAAAGACTACATCAAAAAGGTAACAGTTAACTGTAACGTACTCATAGATGGTTTTTCCTTTATTCTTAATTTGTAAACAAACGTACACAGTCCATGCTTTTCAGTTTTAATTTATGAGCATTAGGGGATCTCCCGTTATCAGCCATTCCTCACCACATACTCCTTTGTTTTCCTCATCTTGATTCTGATAGATCACAGCAGGTATAACTTGAAATCAAGGCTGAAGCCATAGCAGTGTTCCCGTACCCACACTGCCCCAGTGGTCCCCTTCCCTAGAAGTAAAGCTGCTTCATATTTTGGAACATTGATTAGTTCAGGTGGTTTTTATTTAATAGCATCATCCTTCACATAGTTTAATAGAACAGCTTTTGGAAACGGCAGACTCTCACTTCCCCACTTTGGCTTTTATCATACTGCAGCAGTTGTGAGCAATTGAAGGCTTCTCACCTGGCTTCTGAGATTTCCTTTTGTCCCATTCTCAACATTTCTCACCCACCAAGGGAAGTTGGTCCAGAAGCAGGCCACCAAACACTATACATTTGGAAAGTTAACACAAAATACTGGTAATGGTATCTCCTTAGTTTATTATACCTGTTTACCAGCAAATTTCTGTAATCTTATGTATCCTTCTTTCGCAGTGCCCACCTTCTGTGATCTACAGCAATCTTAATTCTTCCTGTATACTTTTGTTACTTTGTATCTTCTGCTTCGCCTATTTTAACTTCTTCTTTTAAGGCAGAGTGAGTCCTTCCCTTTTCTTCTCCATCTCCTGTCCCCTGAATCCAACAATGACCTTCTGTTGAGTCGCTTTCCTAACTTCTTCCCTGTGCCCTTTATCATCTTCATGACTATTTCTTCTACTTACACTGTGAGCAACAATCTTTTTTTTTTTTTTTCCTTAAGTCCTTATATTATGCTTAGTAGACTGACGCTTTTCAATTTGTAAAGAGATGTACTTGCTAAGGTGATAACTTTTACTGAAGGATGTATGAAATGAGTAGTTTGGGGATTTGCACTTTTGCTTATTACTTCACGAGTAAGCTGCCCATCTTATCTAGTTCAGTTCAGAGTAATTGTTCTTAAGCCATTAATGTAATTTATAATCACTATTTTATCTGTACAATAAATTGTGAAAAATGTTGCTACAGTGAACCATCATAGTTTGTTATAATGTTAAGTTTTGTGTTACTGTTATACGATATTAAGGGTCACATTCGAGAAAAACAATTTTTAAATTCTCAATTGGAAGGAAATTTTTACCAGTTCATATTACTTTTGAAGGGTTTTTCCCCCCCAATTTAAAAAAAAAAACATTTTCTAGTTTACACCTAATATGCATAAATAACCGAATGACTCTAAAGTGCTGTATTTGTGGTAATCTGAATTAACAGTTCTGAAGATTTCATCTAGAAAAATAATCTTCACTGCAGGCGCCTTTTATTATTTATCTTTGGTGCTTAGCAGAGTGCTTGAAATGACTTCAGCCATTTAGCATGCTTAGTGGATATAGAAACAAATTACTTCACGGCTGGACAGCACATTGCTGTGCTTCTGGGGTTTTTTGTTTTATTTCATGATTAAGGCTAGTAGTAAAGATGAAGATAAATAGCTTAATCGTTTGGCTTTGTCAGGTTGGGTAACTGAAATATGTATCTAGTCTCTGTAGAGCAAGTGAGCATGTTTTCTTTCTTTCAGCTGTACACATTGAGAAGATAATGTTGAAAGGAGTCCAGAGAAAAAGGGCTGACAAATACTGGGAGTACACCTTCAAAGTAAGCTACTCTCATCACCCAAAAAGATATCTCATACTATGTTAAATGATCTCTTGGAAAGAATGAAAATTGATCTTTGGAACAACTTAATGGCAGGTTTGCCAATTTAAGGGAAGCTATACCCATGTCTGTGTTTGTCTGAATTAAGGGAATGTACTGTTTTCAGTATATACTGCGTGGTTTGCCAAGTGTTAAAAATTGTATTGCATTAAAGTTACTCTGACAGTTTTATTAAAAAGAAATAAGAGCCTTAGATTTAAGGTGTAAGATATATCTTTAAAAAGTGAAAGTAAACATTCACCAGTATTTTTAAAAATCAAGATCACAGGCATTGTCTTTTCCTGGTATTTTTCTCCTCCTCTTCTTTCTCCAAGGCTTTTATTTTCTGGCCTTTGTTGGCTTTTCTTATCTCTAATTTCTCTGCTGTCATTCTGTCCTTCACACAGCTTTCTGATTAACTGCAGAGCCCAGCTCTGTTAGTCCCCGCGGCTCCTTTTTGCCTGTTGACTGTGATGTGCATTCCGTGTCCGCGTCTTCCTTCCTCCCTGCTCGGGCTTTGATGTCAAGCACTTTCTTCTGACGTGGGACTGCCCACGCCTTGAAGTCACATGGAAGGACGCTGTGTTTCTGTGCATCCTCACTTCACTTCCTACCCAAAGGAGTTGCTTGCCCAACTTTAGCTGTACTTGCCTCACAAAGTCATTTCTGATCCTCCAGCAGAATGTTTTTTCATTCATCCCAGGTGTACCACCATCATCCCTTTCCCAGATTCTTAATTTGGGTTACATGATTTTTCTTTCCAGAAGGCTGTCATCTCATAGAGAGCAGGAATCTTCATCCTCTGCATCTCGCCATATCTGACTTGCTTAGTACATTAGTTGGAGTTTCAGGACTCTGGCTTCTGCCTTCTTCTGTGAGAAATATCCTTAGTTTTCAAATTTTAAGTCCTTATCTCCATGTTTCACCTACGTTTTGTAACGTTTAACACAAGCCCCCCTGCTCTTGTCATTCAGTTAGACCAGCTCTCCTTTGTTGCTGGAGCTCTAAGCGCATTCCTTCCTTAAGGCCTTCGTTGTCCACTGGCTCTGGAACGATATTCCCCCAGACCCTGGCACAGCTGATGTCCCTTCAGCTCACAGGCTCGACGGCCCCTACTCTGAGGCTTTTCTTGGCACCCCTCTGACGTGCTTCTCCCAGCTCCTGCTGCGTGCCCAGCTCGTTTTCTTTGGAGCACTGATCACTGATGGAACTCCTTGTGCATTCATTGGCTCTAGTCTGACTCCTGCACTAGACTCTGACCTCAGCCAGCAGAGGCTTCACTGTCTTGTCCACTCCTGTATCCTTTCATAAGAACAGTGTCTGACACAAGTAGCTGCTCAACAAACATTTGAATAATTAAAAATCATTTAAAAGATGTGTCAGTTAATAAGGATATTTGTTTGAGCGTTGCTAGATAAAATTTTGTATGTATTCTTAAGTATCTGGTTAATTGTGGCATGATTGGTTGGTAAGGCTTATGTATTAGCATAGTTCAAGTATTCACTCAGCTCAAATAATTGTGAAGTAGAAATTATTAGTGGGCTACCATCGAATCCACTGAGTTAAAGGTATTCAAGAAGTAGGTGGGTAATAGATTTTAGTTCTGGCTCTTCTGCTTACCTAGAGTTGAATCTAAGTAAGTTAACCTTTTTGGGTTTTAGTTTCTCCATCTGAAAACGGAGGTAGTCATGTCTGCCCCATCTACGTTAATAGGATTGTAAAGCATTAAGATAAAGATGAAATCTTTTCATAAACCATAAGTCCCCATAAAAATGCAATACAGTACTATCAAAGAAGGGCAGTAAACTTGGTATTTCTCTTAAGAATGTATATTTAATTAAAGTTCCAGGAGATCGAGTTTTTCTTTTTTCTTGGGGCATAGATCTGTGCTGTCGAAGTGTCATTTTAGAGTCCCTACAATGTCACCAAGAGGAACCTAAGACATTTCCCTTTCTGAAAAATTACTAAAGTATAGTCACATTTTTAGAAGACAGCTTGTTTTGAAAACCATGCGCTTTGAAAGGAGTTATTAAAATTTTTTAAAGTAGAATGTCAATATGCAGTTAATTTTAACAGTTTTGAAGAAATTATGACAATACCAGATTTTTATATTTCTAATTGTTAATCTTGATAAAGTTAAAGTAAGGTCATTTGTGTTACACATGGCTTTTTTCCAGTCAGTTCCTGCCTAAGAAATAACTGTATAACGTGTTTTTTTTTTTAAATCAGGTAAATTGGTCTGATCTTTCAGTCACAACAGTAACAAAAACCCACCAAGAACTACAGGAATTTCTGCTGAAGGTAAAAGTATAGATTTTGTTGTTAAAACGATTTTTATGTGATATACAGCAGGGGTCCCCAGCCCCCGGGCAGCGGGCAGGTAGCGGTCCTCGGCCTGTTAGGAACTGGCCGCGCAGCAGGAGGTGAGTGGCGGTGAGCGAAGCTTCCCCTGCCGCTCCCCATTGCGCCCCATCGCTGTCATCACTGCCTGAACCATCCCATCCTACGACCCCCCGCCCCGGTCCATGGAAGAATTGTCTTCCACGAAACCGGTCCTTGGTGCCAAAAAGTTTGGGGACTGCTGGTATACAGAATCCAAAAACCTTAGTACCAAAACAAACACCAGGAAAATTAAAGCGTGTATATAGAGGCTGGCTTACAACTCTTCATGAACAATGATGTAGAAAATGTCATGTTATTCTAAACATAGATTTTGTTACCTTACATTACCAATATAAGGAATTGATGGTTTTCCACATTAAAAAAAAAAAAAGCGGGGTGGGAACCTTATTCCTGGTTCCTTGCTGAGATGTATATTGTTGGTGGCTCTGTGCCTGGCGCCCGACAGGGTCTCTCCTCTGGGTTTCCCTAAACTTTATCTACTGTTTGTCTTGACAGATTTCATTTTTCAGTCACAGAATTTCTCTAAAGGCTTAGGTGTTTTTTAAAAAAAAATGCAGCCTGAAATAAATAATTTGCTCTTCAGAATCACAGTAATTAATGGTCCCCCTGCTTAGCCAACATCTGAATATAGTGTTTTTTCCATAGGACCAATGCCTTATCAGGTTGTATGAAATAATTGGCAACTAGCATACTTCTAGGAATGAATTGCTGATTATGAAATATCCTTTCAAGTTTACCATATGTCTCTTTTCCTTTTCATCTTCCTTTTAAAATCATCTACAAAAGGTAAGAGATTAAGCTGTCCGCTTGACAACCTGTACATACTAACAGTCTTTAACTTCTGTGGAGGCTCATTGAACTGCACCTAAAGTTTGCTATAGTGAGAAAGGTCAGTGAGTTTGCTGTAGTGAGTTTGAGGTCAGTGCTTTCCAATCCTTTTTTCCATATCAGTAGTAGCCTCTCTGTCCTCCACATCCTGACCTCCTTCCCTTGCTGCTCCTTGACAGCTGTGTCTGGCACCTGTGTTGTTTCTCCTTGCCAGAAAGGAAGCTCCGTGAAGGCAGGGTTCTCGTTTCATCCTCACTGCTGTATCCACAGTGCCAGAAACAGCACTTAGGACAGGGTCGGAGTTTGAACTATATGTTGACTCAATGAATGAATGGATTAATGAGGAGAGTTGCAAAAACCAAATTGTAGTGAGATTTTGTAGATGGTTATCCGTCAGGCCTCAGTGTTGTTAAAGAAAAACTTGTACTGAGGTGTGAATGCCTTCCAGCACGCTGAGCTTGTGCTGTGGCTGAGCCGGGGCCCCAGAGGTGGGGGACTGGGTATGCTGGAACAAAGACCAGGCAGGTGAGAAAGTTCGAGTGACTGGTATAGAAGAGACATGTATTTTTAGCGAATATGCCTTCCTCTAGGACTGGAAGTAGTCCCTGGATATTGAAGATAAAAGCGCTTGAAAATAAATCAGTTTGCAAATACCAATGGCTGCATATCCGCACTCTGCCCAGTCACATGAGCAGTCACTGACCAGGTGAAAATGAATATATTCTCACCTTCCTGTGTTTAGAAGAGCCATCAGTCATTCGGTAGTTGAAATAAGCTTCTCCACTGAAGCTGGTTTTGGCTGTGTACAGATATTCAGGAGAAATTGTGTTTAAAATGGGTAATGTGATATATGCCTAATGTTCTAAATCTGTATTAAAATGATAACATCAAAGTATAAATACTGAAATGAATGGTCATTTCCTTGTTTGGAAAAATGTGTAGATCCAGAACGTGTTTTTTCCTGTTAGTGGTCTGAGGATGTGATTTACACAGTGGGTGTGTGGAATGCCAGCAGAGTGTTTGACCTTACCACGTTAATAAAAGGGCCAGGACGGGCTTCATTCTGTTATAACATCTTGATTCCGTAGTCTTACTGTGCCTAAAATAGTAATACTTACGCTACCTTTGTTAAATTTTCCATTTCTGAATTGTTGACTCAAAATGCTTATTTGTCAGAAGAATACTTACTTTGGGTTCTCCAATTAAACATTAATATGTAAACTGACAAATTTGTATAGATTGTTATATTCCCGTGGCACCTTAGATAAATGTGTTAATGGTTCTATTCTTAATGTTAGTGAAAGTGACTGCAGTTCACAAGTTAATTGCGAAGACTAGTTATCAAAAGTCAAATTTAAAACTTTGACTTCTTGAAAGACTTGGAAAATTAGTTTTATAAGGGATCAATTTATTAGACATTTTAATAGGTAAACTAGTTAATAATAACAAAGTTTTAAGTCATTTTATTTAATTAAAAATTTTTCTTGGTCAACTGATGATTTTTTTGTGATTTCTTATACATGGCTCTGAGGCCACCTCCATCACACTGAGGAAATGGTTACTAAACCTCCAATTAATCTTTTTATGTAAGATTCTGAGTGTTCACCCCATCTTTCACACCCAGGTCTTTATTTGGTTTGTAGCGTTGACAGGCTGACATGGCCTGAGGTTCACACGTGACATAGAAGGCACAAAAGTGATAACTACAAAGGCGGAGATCGCAGTTTTCAGAATACTATTTGAGGATAAAAATAATACTCCCTGTGCCCTGCTTAAGGCTCCATTTCACTAAAGAACCTTGTTGCGGTGTCCTGGGATGGGAGAGGAGTGCCGGCGGGCCCAGAGCAGGCTTAGCGCTGCCAGCACCCTCGGCCCCTCCCCTTCCCTCGGGACCCCGCGGTGCCCTGTGCAGTGCCGCTTTTCGGGAAGATTTAGAAAAGGAACTGCTTTGGGATGATTTCTGAGTAGGAGGCATTCATCTTCCTTTTGTGCCTCTGTTTGTCAGTAAATGAGAAACTTAACGTTGGTCGTGCGGTTTTTCTTTCCTAGCTTCCAAAGGAGTTGTCCTCAGAGACTTTTGACAAGACCATCTTAAGAGCCCTGAATCAGGGCTCATTGAAGAGGGAAGAATGGCGGCACCCTGACCTGGAGCCCATCCTGAGGTAACGGTTCACTGGCACCTCCCCGGCAGCCTCACAGGCTGGGCCACGGCCATTCCGGGGCTGAGAATGGAGTTCTAGGGGAGATCACAGAGATTCCTCCTCTGGAGTACTTTTCAGAATGGACTTTTTATCCTTGTGTTATTTAGACCTAGGCTAGTAGTAGACACCAAACGAATTTCTCATATCCTTGTACTTTTCAGCTGTCTGTTATCATAAAAATCGTTTCTAAAGTATGCAGATATTCAGTGAAACCTCTTATTTTCACCATAAAATATTTATTGAAAGAGGCCCTTGTCCAAGAGCTCAACTTTGGAGATGGTTTTGGATTTAAGTTGCTGAGTAAGATTAGGCTAATGGGTGGGAGAGTGAAGGGCGGCCGAGCTTTGCAGTGTGGTTTTGGTCATTGTTGGCGCTCATCCCTCTCTGAGGGCCCCCCTTTAGGAGAGAGAAACTAAGGAATAATGGCCAAGGAAACAAATGCTGTTATACTGGAAACTTGCTGTTATTAATAAGTAAAATAAGTGAAAGCAGTGTTAGCGCATGTGTGGCTTAGACGCGGGGCTTAGGTGAGACTGATTTGCCCTCTGAAGCTAAGCGGGCCCAGCCTGGGAGGAAGACTTGCTGAGGCAGAGGTGTGAGCCTTTTCATGCAGTGACCCTCCTGCTGCCCCCAGGCCCCCTGAGTATTCTCAGGATGGGGTGGGGCTGGGGACAGAAGCAGAAATCCGGGAGGGAGGGTCGGGGAGCAGCCTCAGGGGAGCGCCCATCCCGTGCAGCCCAGCGCATGATGGGCTGTGAGGAAAGCGGGCCGGGCCGGCGGGATTTTAGAGTCAGAAGGCACCAGCCCGTTCACTGGAGGGCGGGCATCCCAGAGGGCACAGTGGGAGGGTCCAGAGAAGGCCGAGGAGAAGTGGGAGGGGCTGGGTCTCTTGGGGGTGGGCACAGAGAGCATTCCAGGGCTGAGATGGGGTGGGGTTGGGTGAGGAAGAGTTGGCTGAACTCGAGTCCCCTGTGCTGCTGCTCAAGCATCGGTGGCGTGTGCATCCCTGGGGAGCCTGTTAAAGGGCAGAGTCATGCCCCACAGTACTGGGGTGAGCGCAGTGCTGGGATTCTAGGCTGCTGGAGGCGCGTGGTCCGCAGAGCACGCCTTAGAGGGTGGCGCGCTCTCAGGCCCCCGCACATACAGGTGGCTCAGGAGGGGCTTGTGTAGCTGTGATACGGGGGTGGGGGGTGGCAGCGCGAGCCTGGTGTCTGCGCTGGGTGACAGCCTCTGGGGAGGGAAGTCATTCGCCCCCCCAGGTGATGGTGGTGGGAGGCCTGGCCTAATGTTCCAGAGGGTGCACACATGACAGGTGGCCCGGCAGGGCGTGGGGCCCAGACGGGGTCAGGAGGGCGTATGCTCAGGGCTCCGAAGGGAGAAGCAGTGACAGTGGGAGACAGATAAGCTTACTACAGGGGGATGGGCCTAGTTAGGGTATATATTAAGAATCATGAGAACCAAGTTTCTCTGTTGGAGAAGAGAGTTATGGTATGGAAAGGAGAAAACCAGAATGAACCCTGGAGTGTCTCATTGGAATTGAAGATACCGGTGCAGACTCATGATTTTTAGTATATATAGGTAGATACAGAAATAAATGTGGTTGTGTGTGTACACGTGTGTTCCCTGGCTCTGGTCATTGAAAGGGTCTGGAAGCAGCCACACCCCAGTAGCGGTGGGCATCCCTGGTATCCAGAGCTTGACTTGTAACTCCGTTCTCCACTGAACAGAGCTAGGGCTCCTTGGAGGAGAAGCTGATTGCAGGGCTGGAGGAGGAAAAATACAAGATGAGCCCGTTGTGCCAGAGAGCAAGGAAGCGCTCAGGGAATGTTTGGCTTGGTCACAGGACAAAGGCCAGCTTGAAGGGGCTCCTGGTGGTCAAATCTGGAGCAAATTGAACATCAAAATAAATAAGAACAGTAACATTGAATAAAATAGGAAACCATGGGTCCATGTTGAGATAAATAATAAACGAATAGATTGAACGTTTGAGGACTAGGACATTTACATTGTCAAAGTCATTCCCCAGAGCTTCTTACTTCTAAACGAGGGAGAATAACCCTGGGTGGAGAAGTCTGACAGATGCTACTTGCATCCAGGAGAGTGAACTTGACTCAGGATCGCCTACCGCACAGTAGGCAGCAACGAAGGAGCACTGCCTCACTCCTGTGATATTCCTGCTGTGAACCTAATCTCGAGGAAACAGCAGACAAACCCTAATTGTGATCATTCCACAAAATATCTGCGCTGTCCTCTTAAAGCCAGGACAGTCGAGGGAGGGCTGAGAAGATAGCACGGCTAGCTGGATGCAGCACAGGATCTGAACTGGGTCTTTGTGGTAAAAAGGATACTTTGGGATCAATTGGCAAAATTTAACTAGCATCTGGGGGTTAGGAGGTCACAATTTATCAGTGTTAACGTCCTGATTTTGATTGTAGGAGAATGTCTTTGTAGGAATACCCATGTTTCACCCGGTGTTGGGGCAGCAGAGGTCAGTTATTTATGGTTTAGAAAGAAAATTCTCTTTATTTGCAACTTCTCTGTAAGTTTGAGGTTTTCAGAGGGAAAAAAATACTTCCACAAGGAGCCACTTTCAGAAATTTGGCTCTTGACCAACACCACAATTAAGAAGTATGTGTTGGACTCCTTGTTATAGTGTTTAGGATTCTCCTCATATGATCTCGTGTGTGTGTGTGTGTGTGTGTGTGTGTGTGTGTGTGTGTGTGTGTGTGTGTGTAGCCTTTTTACTATAAAGATGTTATTCAAGCTATTTGTGGAGAATGCAAAGGAAGGTGTAATGTGAAAAGTCCCTAATATCCCTTTCTTCAAGTCTAGTCACTAGAAGTGGCCTTCATTAAAAAATTACATACCTTTCCAAAAATTTTCTGTGCATGTACACATCCCTGAATTTGTGTGTTTGTGTGTATTTCCTTTGCGCAAATGAACTCTCCTTTGCACACTTTTTTGCCACTTAGTCTTTTCATTAAATATATTGGACATGGTAAAGCATCAGTACATGTAAAAAAGATTGCTACCTCATTTTTTATTTGCTACATAATGTTCCATTTTTAGTTGTACCATAATTAAACTAATCAGTGTATTTTATGGCTGTTTTGGTTCTTCCTAAATATTTTAAAGCTACAAGAATATTACAGTGACTGTCCACATATATGTTTCTTAACACACTTCTCTGTAAGAGAAATGTCTGGAATTGGAATTTTTGGTCACAAGTACAGCGTGCACTTTTTAATATGCGGTATTTCCAGATTACTTCTCAGGAGGCAGCAGCACTTTATACCCTCAGAAGCCTTGTTTTTGCATCTCCTCCACACCTCAGCAGACATACTCTCAGCTTCTCATCTTTTCCAGTCTCTCAAAAAGGAAGACTGTGTCTCATTTTAATCTGTATTTGAGTGGCCATTTGTACTTTCCTGTGAATGAATTTTTCAGTCCCTTCCACTTTTTTATTGATTACTAATTTGTAAGAGTTATTTGTTAGGTAAAAGAAAGGAGCACTGTTTGTCATTATTTCTTGACCATGCAGAAGGTTTAAATTTTTATGTAGTTGGATTTATCAGTCTTTTCTCTTACGGGTTCAGGGTTTTGTGTCCAGCTTGAAAAGACCTTTTCTCTTCAAAAGTTATATTTTTAAAATGTTTTCTTCGTAATACTTCCTTTTAAAAACATCTTTGATTCTTTTGTATGGCTAGCCTGTGGTCTCAACACCATTAATTGGATTTTAGGACACTTATTCTCAGTTTGTGAATTTTAGATTAGTATCACTATAATTCATTTAAGAAATGTAGCAGTTATAAAGGAGGGGGAGAAATGAAAGCAAGAGGTAGGTAATGAATTTATAAGTGAAGTGGAGATTGGATTGGTACAGGACATACTGCATTTACTTCCAAGTACACTGTAAATTAGGAAAATGAAGATATGGCACTGAAATGTACATTTGGGGTTGGAAGACTTCTGTTATGTCAAAATGTAATCCTGTTTTTCTTATTTGATTGCTTGAGTAGTTTATGGCCACTTTGGGTTCTAGTTGGGTATAACTGCCATCTTGTGGTTATGCAGCAATGAACCCTGACTTGAGTCTGTATGCTGATTCCAACCAAGCCCCTGCCTTTATCTCAGGTGTGGTTTTCCTATACTGGATATGCCTGTACGTTTGACCAGTTAATTTGGTTCGTAAATGTAACTGGGCAGTAGATGCCTTTGGATTTTAATCCTCAGCCTTAGGTAATGTGTTCAGACCTGGAAATTTAGATTAGCTCCATACTTTGTATCTCAGTTTCTCTTCCATCTCTTCATTTCCTCCCTTTGTCTTCCTATTGAATATTTACCTCCACATTTGAGAACCAAGAAGCAATTTTGTCTAATGCACAAGGCAACTTTGGTCCATAGGGTCATCTCTTGATATGGTATTTTGATGATTTTATAACTAATCTGAATGATAGGTACAAAACCTTGGGGAGACATTAAGAATTAAATTTTTAAATGAGCATTTAAAATGTTCAAAAGTAATGGAAGGGGGTTTGGATGTTGAGCAGGGTAACAGTTTAATATGCGTATACTATTTGAGTGTCATAATCTTGAAGAATGTTAGTATATTCCCTAAGAGGAAATCGGAACTGAAAGGCCAGATAGCTTGTTTAGGGTGATTCAGCTTTTAAGCGATTGAGCTGGTATTCAGATCCCAAGTAAACTTTGCATTAGACTGTGCTGTAACTATGCCCCTTTTTGCAGAGTCCCTTTCGTAGGGAAGACCTCCAGTTGGAATCTTTTAATGACATTAATAAAGCATGAGGAAAGCTGTTTTTTAAAGATAACAGCTTAGAATTGTGGTATGATACATATTGAGGTGAGTTATCAGTCATACCTTAGTCTGTAGTAATACTTGTAACTAACTTGGCCGCTGCGTTCCATTCGTAGTTTCCAGAACTCCTGCATCCCGAACTTCCCAACCTCTTACTTTCAGACTGCGGGAAGGTGCCTTCATGGTACACCCAAATGATGAAAAGTAACACCAAGAAGAAGGGTAAAGAAACTGAAGTTGTTTTTCTGAGCAGAAAGGCGACTCTTGGACCACTTGGGTAAAAGGCTGAAGTAATACACAGTTGGTTAGAATTGAAGCGTTACCACTAGATTATATAAAATTAAAAATAAGCCTGTTTATTAGATTCTTGTAAATAAGTCTTTTATTCACTTCCTCCTATGGGAAATACATTAGAAAATAATATTCTTTTCCTTAGGAAAACAGTTTTTTATACCTGAATTAAACTGCCACTGGCTTTGTTTACAATCTAAACTATCTCGTGGATTTATAGTACATGAAATTAATGAATGTCTTTTCTTTTTATATGCAGGCAGCTATTTTCAACTTCATCACGAGCTTTTCTACAGAATCAGAAAGTACACAGTTTTTTTCAGTCCATATCATCAGACCCTCTACACAGCCTCAGTAAGTGTCCCTCTGCTTCTCTGTAGAAATTTGGCCTTTTCCTTGCTTGGATCTCTTGCTTTACCATGCCATCTTGTATGGGATTGTCATTTTAGTTAAGGTCAAGGAATAGTGGCATACAAAATTAGAAACATTTGTAGTTTTTAGTGAATTTTACACTGCAGTTTTAAAGAAGATAACTTAAAACAGCTAATGTGACAAAACAGTAATGACCTATATGCAAAAAGAATATAAAAAAGAGTGTATGTATGTATACATATAACTGATTCACTTTGCTATACAGCAGAAACTAACACAACACTGTAAATCAGCTATACTCTAGTAAAAAGTTAAAAAAAAAAAAAAAAAGCTAATGTCACAAAACAGACTGATTCCAAGGCAAGGGCAAGTATCTCAAACTCGTGGGCATACTGGATCCTCAGGTTCCTTGAGAGATCTGGCTTACAGGTTGTAGAGATGCTTCAGTGCTGCTTGCATGATGGATAACCTCTCATGATGTGCCCCTGTTCCCATAATGACCTCCCCAGCCTCCTAGGCTGGAAACTCTGGCCTTACTCTTTTCACTTTTCCTCCTTGTATTCAGTCATTTAAAGGCCAAGTCACGCCAGACAAAGGACATCATCCTTTTTACCCCTCCTCACCAATCCCATTGTTAGTTAGGTCTTTTTTTCATGCACAGACTGTGCAAAGCCTCACTTCTCTCAGATTCTAGTTTCTTACTGTACTATAACCTGTCCTGGGCTTGTCTCGGGGTTCAATTTGTTAATCCTCTATTTAGAACCTTAAACGTTTGCTGTGAAATTCAAGCCCTGCCGTGAGCCCCTTGAGCTGCCTCTCACCTCTCTCGGGCTCCCAGGGCTCACAGGCTTGGCAGCCACTCAGGACACCCTCCCTGCCTTTTCCTGTCCCAGGGTCTTGGCTCGTTCTGCACCCCATCTTTTGTTACAGTCTGTTAAAATCACACCTGTTTCAGGACCCAACTGAAATAACACCTCGTGAGGATTCCCTAGATTTCTCTTATGTTCCTGTAGTTTGGTTTTGCCCGCATGTTTCAGCATTCATCATGGTCTGCCTTGAGTTTAGTTTTATACACGTCTATCTCAGCTGCCTTTTTTAACAAATATTTTGCCAGTAACATCGATGTGTGCTTTAGGAGAATTTCTGCTAACTTTAAGCACAGCCACTATGGCAAGTCGCTGTGTATTTTTCTTGTTTTTCGAATCTTTCCTTCTGCTTTCAACAAAGCCATGTCTCCCTGTACCTAGAGGGGAAAGAAAGTACATTTTTCCTCAGTTCGAAGTGGGAGAAAAAAAAGAGGTAAAAAAAATAGTATGATTGGATATTTATTGTAACATAGGGGTTAACTTTTAGTTTTTCTAATCATTTATGTGTATGTATATATCCCTTAAACATTTTAAACAAAAAGTAGCAACTAGAATTAATGACTCTTCATGACTAAGACAAGATGAAGAACTCCATGTTTAAATTCATGTCTGAATAGTGGCAATAGCTTTTTTAAAAGAGAATCCTGATCATTCTAGAGTCATAATAGGTTTAACGGTCAGTGCTTTCCACTTGAACCAAGTGTGGTTTTTAATGAATATCTATAAATAGCGTCTGTCTAATTCTAAAAAAGCATTGAAGCATGAAGTTAAGCTTTTAATTCAGATTTTAGCAGGCTGCCTAGGAAAATGTACCCAAGTGAGTAGTACACACATAAATCACAGAAAACCCGTCTGGAGAGTTTGGCAGTATCTAAATTACATGAGCAATGCTAAAGAGGCTGGTAGATTTTAAGATATCAAATTGTTGTGAGATCAAAATAGTGTATTAAAGGACATGTTTTGAGGGCTTCCCTGGTGGCGTGCTGGTTGGGAGTCTGCCTGCTGATGCAGGGGACGTGGGTTCGTGCCCCGGTCCGGGAGGATCCTGCGTGCCGCAGAGCGGCTGGGCCCGTGGGCCGTGGCTGCTGGGCCTGCGTGTCCAGGGCCTGTGCTCTGTGATGGGAGAGGCCACGGCAGTGAGAGGGCCCGCGTGCCGCAAAAAATAAATAAATAAATAAATAAAGTAAAGGACATGCTTTGAGATTGTGGAAAATCTGGTCAGGATGTTCAAATTATTTCACCAAAGAACACATCATTGGCAAAGTTCATTTGTCCTTACTCTTTTGAGAAATGACAGCTCTAACTTCCCCTGCCCCCGCAATAGAGAGCAATATTCCGTATCCTGACAGCTGAGAGAACAAATGTTAAACTCCTGAATGACTTAAAATGTTGACCTCCAGAAGCCTACTGGTCTGTATTTTAATGGAGACGTAATCCAGTGCATCAGAGTGGGTTCCGTGGGTCAGTGCTGGTCCGTGACTGCTGGTCACTGGTCTGTGGTAGAAGAACAGGAGCAGAGAGGAGACGCTGGGAGTAATCTGACGTTGCCACATTATACTGTCTTTCGTAAAAGGAGCGATCCACACAAACTGGAAATTCTGAAAAACCTTACACAGCACAGATAGTTGAGAAGCACTAATCTAGTCCGTCTCCTCATTTTGCACAAGAGCACGCGGGGGCAGGCAGATGCGAAGCAGCTTGCTTCACTCCTGTGGCTTTTATGGGGAGAGCTGGCTCCATGCTTCAGGGTCCCCACTCCCAGTCCAGGGTTTTGTGCTGTGTCCTCTAGCTTTCTTCAGAGTCTTAACTACGAGCCATGTTCTCTTTACCATTAACTCTCCACTCTCATCCTCCGTGGGAGAAGAGTAATCATTATATTTGTTTTTCTCACTATTATAATTTTCCCTAAAAGTTAATGGTATTTAATACTTCCCGCAGATAACTTACAATCCTCTCTGAAGACCTCTAAGATATTAGAACACTTAAAAGAAGACAGCTCAGAGGCTTCAAGTCAAGAAGAAGGTAAACGCTGATTCACTGGAATAAGTCATTCTGCGTGATACTGTCACAGGGATAGGTAAACAAACCGTTAGAACAGGTTAAGGAACTGAGAAACAGACATATGGGAACTTGGAATGTGACAGGTGGCCTTACAGAAAAGTGGGGAAAGAATATGCAATAAATGGTATTGGCTGGCTTTCCAGTCAAAAAAAATGTTATATAATTCGATCCCTACTTCCGTTGGGCACAGAAAATTTCAAATGAATAACAAATTATTTGCAACATATATAAACTTAATGTAATATGTAAAATGTAAAACTTAAATTTTTAAATGTTAATAGTCTGGGATGAGAAGGCTTTCTTGACAGGCCAGAGCATGACCATAGTGGAGATCTTTCCAATCTAAATGAAAGCTTAACAAGTGACAAGAGGTTACCATTCAGAGGACATTTGCAGGATATTTACAGGTGTAAAGACTATACATCCAGACTATAGATTCTTCTAAAAATCACTGAGAAAATCAGTCTGGTCAACAATATGGGGAAAGATAAACATAGGCAGTTCTCACAGAAGAAACTTGAATGGTTCAGCCTCACGAGTAGTCCAGAAAATGCAAACTAAAAACAATGAGAAAAAAAAAACAAAAAACGAGAGGGGCTTCCCTGGTGGTGCAGTGGTTAAGAATCCGCCTGCCAGTTCAGGGGACACGGGTTCGAGCCCTGGTCCACGAAGACCCCACATGCCACGGAGCAGGTAAGCCCGTGCACAACTACTGAGCCTGTGATCTAGAGCCCGCGAGCCGGAACCACTGAGCCCGTGTGCCACAACTACTGAAGCCCACGTGCCTAGAGCCCCTGCTCTGCAACAAGAGAAGCCACCGCAATGAGAAGCCCGTGCACCGCAACGAAGAGTAGCCCCCTGCTCGCCGCAACTAAAGAAAGCCCGCGCACAGCAACGAAGACCCAATGCAGCCAAAAATAAATAAATAAAATAATTAAAAAACAAAAAAACAATGAGATTAGTTCACACTCATCAGATTGGCAAACCATTTTCAAGTCTGACATTATCAAAGATATGAAGTAATGGGAATCCTCATCTACTGTTGATGGGAATTTAAATTGGTACAACTCTTGGTACAACTATTTTGGACAAAAATTTGACACTCTCGTGAAGTTGGAGGTGATTAATGCTACTACCCAGCAGTTCTGCTTCTATGAAAATTGTCGTCCGTGTGTTCAGGGGACAGGGATTCAGGCTCTCCCAGCAGCTTATGGGTAACAGCAAGTACTTGGATGTTAACCCAAATGTTTCAAATGTTAATAAAGTTATAAATAGATTGTGGTACATTCATGCTAGGTGGCAATTAAAATAAAGGGTATTTATAGTATATTCAAACATGTAGCACCACTGTGTGTGTGAATACACACAGGGGTAGTTAAAATAAAAACATGCACTAGATTATTTCAACTAGTTAACCTCTGTAGAGGGAGGGAGCTGAATGGAATGGAGGGAGGCCTTCAGTTTCTGGGATATTTCCTTTCCTAATAAAAAGAGGCAAATACAGAGATATCTGGGAGGTGGGTACATGGGTGTTGGTTTTATTAACATGTGGTGTTTTGATATTCGAGACACTTCTTTTTTTCCTAATGGTTAAAAAAGAGCCTGAAATTGAATGTGTGGTTTTGCAGCGTCATGCTCATGTCAAATTTCGTAGTCTTGGACAAAATTGATTTTGCTATCAGGTGGAACATACTTGAGAGGATATTTAAAGAAATTACTGTGCCTTTGAAAAATTGTTTCTTTAAGGAATTTTCTGTGAAAAATGCTTGGAAGTGCTCTACGTGGTCTGTCAACACTGTTATGGTCACATATATTAGTTGTGTCTTCCTTTTGGATTTTGTAGAAGCATATGGTATAATAAATTGTTTTTTTCCTCCACTCTAGATGTGTTACAGCACACCATAATCCACAAGAAACATACCGGGAAAAATCCCCTTGTGAAGTAGGTATCTAGTTCCTAAAACATGAATGACTTTGTGCATTTTTAAATCAGCATCACATTTACTTACTGATGTATTTGGCTATAATTCTGCCGGTTTACTGTTTGCTTGTTATTTGTCTCACCTTTTCTGTGTTTTCCTTTCTCTCCTTTCTTGCTTTGGGCGTTTTTTTTTAATTCTGTTTTTCTCTTCTATTAGCCTTGATAGTTTTCCATACGTTGTTTTTCGATTCTTCTGATGGTTACCTAGAGGTTTTATTCTACATCTTTGACTTAGGAAGGTCTGATATTTGTGCTTGTACCATTTCCCACATGAGGACCTTGGATCACTGTAACTTCACTTACCTCCTCCCAGCTTATAAACTGTAGCTGCCATGCATCTTAATTCTGTTTTTTTTTTGTTTTTGTTTTTGTTTTTTTGTTTTTTTTTCGGTACGCGGGCCTCTCACTGCCGCGGCCTCTCCCATTGCGGAGCACAGGCTCCGGACACGCAGGCCCAGCGGCCATGGCTCACGGGCCCAGCCGCTCCGCGGCACGTGGGATCCTCCCGGCCCGGGGCACGAACCCGCGTCCCCTGCATCAGCAGGCGGACCCCCAACCACTGCGCCACCAGGGAAGCCCCCCTTAATTCTGTTTTAAACCTCATGAAACCTTTTTGCGTTAATCATTTAGGTTTCTACCATTCCACTGTTTTTCATTCCTTCCAGTGTGCCTGAGCATCCTGCTAACTGAAGAACACTTGAGAATTCCCTGTCATCATATCTGCCAGTAATGAAATCACTTTGTTTTTATCTGGAAAAAATGTCTATTTTGCCTTCAGTTTTGAAAGACATTTTTGCTCATATGACATAGGACTCCAGGCTGGCAGTTACTTTCTGTGAGTGCTCGGAAGCTCCAGGGTCGCTGTCTCCGGTCTAGTGCCCTTGGTCCTTCACATCATATCCTCTCAGCCCAGTTTGATTTCTGCTGCAAAAGCCACATAAAATCATTTATGTGACTTCTGACCCCCCTCACACTGCGATTCTGACCCCCCTCACACTGCGACCGTCCCTCCGCAGGCCCTGCCTGGTGACTGTCCACCTCCTGCCTCAGGGCCCGCGCTGATTCTATGAGCCTGCTTAGCCTTTGAACCAGCCCAGTTCAGAGCTGCACGTTAATTTGCCCCAGGGGTCAGCCCTCAGCTGGTGGGGAGCTCCAGCTTCCTGTCCTCTGGGGAGATAATTCTGGGAGGTCCCAGCTGGTTTGAGCCTCTGTTGCTCATAGCGGCAGCCTCACTAATGGACCCACACGCTGGTTTTTCCTCCTTTCCTGTTTCATTCTCCCCACTCCTTGCTCCCACTTCTGGATCACCTCCCAAATCAACTGTGTCATCCCCAGATTCTGCTTTTAGGGGCAGCAGTGGACAGTGGGTATCCATTGTTCTTCAATCTTATTGCTGCTCTTTGAAAGTTAGTGTGCTTTTCCAACTGACTGTGTTTTTGAATTTTCCCATTGTCTGGTTTTCAGCAGCTTCCTGTGATATAGTTGTAGCTTTCTTTGAATGAGTTCTGCTTCCTAAGTCTGAAGTTTGATACAGTTCTGTTTCAGGGAAGCCCAGGCCATTCTCTCTTCACATATTGCTTCTGCCTGTTCTCTTGTTCCCTCTTCTGAGGCTCGGGGTGCTTACAGGTTAGACTTTTCACCATGTCCTAGGTGTTCTCTCAAATTTTTTTTGTTTTCCACATTTTTTTCCTCTCAGTGTTCCAGTCCATTTTCTCATGATCAAATTTCCTCTTCAGTGATTTTTTTTGTCTGTTTCCATCCATTGAGTTCTTAATTTCAGTTTATTGTACAGTTCTAGAATTTAAATTTGGTTCTTTTTTTATACATTCCAGTATTCTTCCAAAATTCTGTTGTCTTGTGGTCCTTGACCGATGTGAAACACTGTTAATTCAGAGTCCATGTCCAATCACTTCATTCTCTGGATTCTCTCTGAGTCTGTTTCTGTTGTGTGTTTCTCTTGGTTTTCAGTCACATTATCCTGTCCCTTCACTTGCCTTAGACATACACAGTACATAGTGGTTCTCTTGAGATTGGGGTTAACACCCTAGCTGTGAGTGGTGCAGGATGAGTCTAAAGACAGACTGTGCCTCTGTTGTCAACCTCCTCAGAGGCAGGTATTAATTATTAAATAGGTAAGAGAGGTATGAACTGGTTTATTCTTATAGTAGACTTTTTTCCTTAGAGCTGTTGCTAGGCATTCTATAAAAAACTAATATACTGAAGAAAGGGTTAGTATAGCTTCTTCCTTATGAGATGAGAAGGCTAGCTGACTGAGGACAGAGTTTCATACTTGCGTGAACTCTTCTTTTGATAGCACTGTTGGTACAAGTTGTTCTCCACTGGATGGGCTCACCATGCAGTATTCTGAACAGAATGGAATCATGGATTGGAGGAAGCAAACCTGCACCACCATTCAGCACCCGGAGCACTGTGTGGCCTTAGCTGACCAGGTACGGGGGCTTTGTTTTGTCTTTGTGCCATACTGTTCAGGCATTGTCACTGCATGAGAGTCGAGTTCTTTAAGCATTATTATGTCAGATAGTGTATCTGGTAAGAAGAAATGAAGGAATGTTTGAATGTAAGACTTCAAAGTTAATTGGTGTACATGATCTAAGCTCCTCTGTGACCTGAAGAAGTGTATATGTATTACTTTGTTTTTTTTGGTTTTTTCAAATTTAATTAATTTATTTATTTTTGGCTGCGTTGGGTCTTCGTTGCTGCGCGCGGGGCCTACTCTTCGTTGTGGTGCACAGGTTTCTCGTTGTGGTGGCTTCTCTTGTTGCAGAGCTCAGGCTCTAGGCGTACAGGCTTCAGTAGTTGTGGCACGTGTGCTCAGTCGTTGTGGCTCGCGGGTTCTAGAGCGCAGATTCAGTAGTTGTGGCACGTGGGCTTAGCTGCTCCATGGCATGTGGGATCTTCCCGGACCAGAGCTCGAACCCGTGTCCCCTGCACTGGCAGGCAGATTCTTAACCACTGCGCCACGAGGGAAGCCCTGTATTACTTTTATTGCTCAAAAATATTAGTACATTTTATTGTGATGCCTAAAATGTTTCACTAGGGATGCATTGTTATGCCAGGTTTTTTGGTTTTGAATTATTCACATTTCAGTCACTGTCTTGCTATTTATTGGTGATGTGAATTTTGAAATGGACCTTCCCTCATGAGTTGTTGGGCGAGTTTACCAGCAAATCCTGAATGTACTTAGGAAATACTTGGTTTTTAGGAGTTGGTGTAATCAGAGAACAGAATGCTCTCAAGTGTGTTTAGGTAACATGGCACCACAGATCCATGAGAGATACTTACTGGTACAGCTATGGAGAGAACCACCTTCTCTCTAGAAAATTGATTTTTATTACTGGCCAACACTCAGATCCAAATGTCAACCTTTACTGGAATCTGTTTTTACAAACTAAAGCATTAAAACATACTTTGAGAAATTGTGTGTTATCGGAGTCATCCTCACTTAATGGCTGAGTTTTAGGTCTATGTGATTATACTTTTTCTCCCTCTACTTCAGTGCTAGCACCTTTTATTCTTAGAGTTGACGCAATTGTGTGTTGCAGTTTTACCAACCTGAACTGCACGAGAATATTAGTAAACGTATAGCAAATACTGATTACTTGATTGTGCTTTATTTTGTGATGAGAAGAAAAAATACACATCCATTTTAAAAGCAAACTACGAAATAGATATTATACTCATAATTAATATTAAGTATTTGTCAGAATATGCAGATTTTAGTGAGTCAAGTAGGTAACTTCAAAAAAGAGGTTGGAAATAAAACCGTGTTAGAATATGCAACTGCGACTGCATTATTTTAATGTTTTTTATCAGAATAAGAGGATAGCTACACGAGTATGGTCTCGCTTTAGTCTGATTTTTTTTTTTATTCTTTTCCCTAGCATTCAACTGAAAAACGAAGTTTATCTTCAATAAATAAGAAGAAAGGAAAGTCACAAATAGAAAAGTAGGTGCAATTTAATCTTTCCAGTAATAGAAATTGGTAAGAAGAGACAACATTTGATAATGGGCATGTTTAATTTATGTAGTATAAATAGTATTTTTCCATTAGTTTTCTTTATATTTTTACTCTGGACTTAATTGTTTCAGTTCTAAATAATCAGCACATGCAGGTGATAAAAATAAAGCTATTGTCAAATATTATATTCAGTTTGGAGGGGCAAAATTCTCAGCCCTGTAAACTGAAGGGTGAATCTTGGATTTACATTGTACCTTACTAAACATTTCTTTTTTAATTATAAAAAAAATTTGAGGGGAACTTTATTAATACTGTACTTAGTGTTCTCTAGGGACTCTTGTAAACAATGTGGGTAACATGTATACTTTCGGCTTAGGGAGAAAATTAAGAAAACTGACAACAGATTGAATAGTAGAATAAATGGTATTCGAATCTCCGCTCCGCAGCACACCCACGGTGGTTCTGTGAAAGGTAAGGGTGTTTTCCTTTCAAATACACGTCACCTAAATATATTTAGCAGGGTACCTATTGCAGGAGGTATTAGGCTGTTGTGTCAAAGCCTGATAACACTTTTTTCCTGCGTTGATGTGAATAGTGATTTCTGAATTAACTCCATTAATACTTCAGAATTGTTTAATGCAGGAAATTAGATTTGGCCACGGAGGTAAATTTCTCCTTTGCTACAGTGACACTCTGGCACCTTTTCCTTCCCCTGGTAGCAGCAGTCTCCTCGATTGTTTCCTTCTCAACCAATCCCTGCTCCAGAGCAGAGGCCGCAGGACCTGCGGGGTCTTTCCACCCTCGTGGAAGCCTATACTCGTTCTTGTGTAAAGTCACTTTTAAAAATCTTGTTGACTTTTTCATGTTTTAATGACTGTCCTTTGTGGAGTTTTATGGGACTTCAGGGGAATTCAGACCCTCAGATTTTCGTTGTACTCGATTTGTGTGGTTTCCATCTACCCACCATTATTTTAAGGTCCTTTTATTTTTAAGTGAAAGATTTTATGTTCATTTGACTGAGAAATGTCCCTTGTGCTGGTTCATTGGTAACTTTTCTGTGTTACATTTACCTTCACCACTAATAGTAAAGATTTTTAAAAAAAGAATAAAAGCTCACAGACCTCTAGGAAAGTGTTTGTCCGTGTGTGTTTCTAACACATATGTTGACAGCTGACCCTACAAATACGATTTGTTTCATTTAAATTTTATTCAAATGTTAGTACCTTCAGTTGTGATGCAACATAACTAACCAGAATATATCCATTTTCTTAATGGAGTATATTTTTAAACTAGCTATTTGTTTAGAGAGATTTAATATTGATAAGGAAATATAGTTGCATTTTGACTCTATAATCATCTGGCCCACTCATTGAATTAATTAACTGAGCTGTCTTTGGGGGGAAAATGACATGGGAAAAACCATGTTTATGAGTATATTGTAACACTTCAGTATCTTTGAGGTTTCCTGTGGTGATGGCAGCTAAAAGGAGGGGGAGAAGCTAAAATAAGGAAGACAGGAGTTCTCTGTCAGTGGATGATTAGAAATAGCTTCTGCCAGGCCTCCCTGTGTGTTTCCTCCTGGTTCATTTTCTGCACTGTCTTCTAAAGCACACACTAAATCAGGTCATTCTATAGTTGAAATTCCTGTCAAATATATACCACCCTCATGACATCACTCTCTCGTCTCTCACATGATTTGGGAACTATGCCAAAAAAGCTTGTAACAGTTCTTTCCCTTTTAGCTTCATATTTTCAGAGAAGTGTGTGGACTTTGATCTCAGACAGATGTGGGTTTGAATCCTTACTCCACCAGTTTCTTAAGTTTGTAAAAGAAGAAGAATATCTACCTCACCAGACTGTAAAACTTAAATGTGATAACATGAAAAGCATTTAGCTAGTATCAAGCACAGAGGTGTTCAGTAATGTGGTTCCTTTTCCCTATTCTAATAAGTTAGAAGAAAACATATGCTGTATAGGTTATTAACTTTTTTTTTTAAAAACATCTTTGTTGGAGTATAATTGCTTTACAGTGGTGTGTTTCTGCTTTATAACAAAGTCAATCAGCTATACCTAAAAATATATCCCCATATCCCCTCCCTCTTGCGTCTCCCTCCCACCCTCCCTATCCCACCCCTCTAGGTGGTCACAAAGCACCGAGCTGATCTCCCTGTGCTATGTGGCTGCTTCCTACTAGCTATCTATAAGAACTTTTGATAACATCTCAGGCTCTAATTCCTATATTTCTTTATTTTCAAATATTATGAAAGTACAGTCTCAGGATTTTTGATTCAAGATTAACCTTTTCTATTTTGTTCTCTATATATGTCACTGATTCATATATATTTACATTTATAGAGTACGACTATGAATATATATATCAATACTTTGTACAACTTGTCTTATTGTCTAGTATAGCTCAGATGTTTGCTGACTCCAACTTAAAGGGAAAACCCTCTGTTTATTAATTCCCCTTTGAAATACTAAGGAATTACCTTTAAGAAGGTGATTACCTTTAAGCATTCAGTAAACTTAAGATATATTTAAGATTTTTTTAATAGAATAATCACGCATATCATAAATGTAGATACTATATTGAAGCTGAAAATTTTAAATAACTCAGTTAAAGATAAGTATTATTTATTTATTTATTTATTTATTTATTTTTTGCGGTACACGGGCCTCTCACTGTTGTGGCCTCTCCCGTTGCGGAGCACAGGCTCTGGACACGCAGGCTCAGCGGCCATGGCTCACGGGCCCAGCCGCTCCGCGGCATGTGGGATCTTCCTGGACCGGGGCACGAACCCATGTCCCCTGCATCGGCAGGTGGACGCTCAACCACTGCGCCACCAGGGAAGCCCTTATTTATTTTTAATTTAAAATTTAACTTCTATTTTGAGTAAAATACATTTATGTAGTTCAAAATTCTGAAGGTACAGAAGGGAACAAAATAAATCCCTCACTGCATCCCTCCATGTTGTCTTCTCCCCAAAGCAGTCAGTGCTGTTCATCATCTGTGTTTTTGCAGTGTGTTTGCTTTTAAAAATCCCTTTGAGACATGATAGATAAAACAGTTTATCTCTCTGTTTAAAAGGGCAATTTGTGGAATAGCCTTTGGCATAGTTATTTCATCCTCACCTTCCAGCCACACCTCTGACTCCAAAGGATCACATATTTTTTTATCCAAAGACTCTACACAATTCTGAAGCACCTGGATTGTCAGAAAGGGAAAATTATGTTCAGCGTAGATTTACATTTATGTATTTAGTTCTTTGAAAATTGCAAACTAATATATGACATTTGGTGGTTAGAATATTTGCTAGCTATATAATCTAAACAAAATCATTGCATAAATTCATTTTGAGAAATAGCTGCCTTTTCTTTTTTTCTTTTTACATTTCTGAAACTTACTCTTTAGAGTTTCAAAGTCTTCACTGCATTTTAGTGAGCAAATCTTGGCTCACTCTATCCCAGTGGTTTTGTTTTGTTTGTTTTGTTTTTTTCCCAGTCCATCATTTCTGGTTAGAACTCAGGGGTTACTCAGTCTACTTGATGGGAAGCAATTTACTCTTTTAAAATATTCAGGCATAGAAATTTTAACTGAATAGGCATTTTTGGCAGTCAGTTCTATTTTTCAGTTCTTTTAAAGAAAGAATTTTACAACATGCTCTGAGGAGTTAAAATGTATAGACTTAAAAAGTGGCTCAATGTGCTAATATTGGACAGATCCTACAAAGAACCTTAATTCTGATATTTTAAAGTCGGTTATATTGATTTTTTCCTCTGCCTTTGTCTTAAGAATGCATTTGTCCCCCCCAAAAAAGTCATCAATTATTTTCAAATAAAATTGTGCTTCAGTAACGAATTTTTACCTAGGTCAGAGGCGAGCTTTTTAGGTAATTATAGAAAAACTTGGGGAAAAAAATTTAAGGGTGTAACTAATTTCTGATGGTTCAATTCAGAAATTCATTTAACTAAACAATTCTGTTTTTTAAAAATCACGTTATTTTTAGATGTGAATTTGGACATTGGATCTGGACATGACACATGTGGAGAAACATCTTCAGAGAGTTACAGTTCTCCGTCTAGCCCAAGACATGATGGAAGAGAAAGTTTTGAAAGTGAAGAAGAAAAAGATAGAGGTTTGCTCTTTGGAGGGATTTGGGGGTGTAAGAGGAAAGTGTGTGCTCTTAAAATCAGTCAAACATAAGTATTTTTATGGTACTGTAAATGTCATTATTGACTTTAATTGGTTATAAAGGGTGTCTTGTGGACTACTGACTTAGCAGTTTCTAGTGATGTTGATTTTTTTAAACCTATTTCACTGCATATGAAATTAAAGAGAAAGAAGACAGTCACAACAAAATGTAGAGTTAATGTAGAAAGATTGAAAACTTGCATATTGTTAGATGCACATATATTTATAACGTTTATGTCTTCCTGATGGATTGACCCTTTTTATCATTATAAATATCCTTCTTTGTCTCTAATGACAATTTTTTTCTTAAAATTTATTTTGTCTGATAATAATATGGCTACTGTAGCTCTCTTTTGGGTGTTTGCAGGGTACCTCTTTTTCCATCCTTTTACTTTAAGCCTATTTGTGTCTTTGACTCTAAAGTATCTCTTAAAGACACCTTATAGTTGGATTATGGTTTTTTAGCAATTCTGCCCATCTCTGCCATTTGATTGGAGTGTTTAACCTATTGAAATTTACTGTAATTACTGATAAGGTAGGATTTACATCTGCTCTTTTGTGCTTTGTTTTCTGTATGTACTATGTCTTCAATTCCTCCTTAAATGGAGGCTCAGAGTCAGCCAGAAATAAGAGTTTAGAGCCTTCTTAGGTCTCTCCTGGGCATGTATATATAGCCCTAGATATGAGCATGGCCTTTTAGATTCCCAGGAATATATTGAAGCTTTTCAGAGCTCCCTGTGAACATCCGATTCGTCAGTTTTTCCTTTTAAGTTTTTTGGTCAGACTATTGTTAACCTCAACTGGTCATGCCAGCCCAGGCAGCCAAATTGTTAAACGGTTGCCGCAGATTGATTGTGACACATGCCCTCTGGGTAAGCAGCTGTTAACACAGAGTGAACTCAAGTTGCCAGACAGAGAGTGATGGTTCCTTAGGAAGGTGCTTTTATAGAGTTCCAAATCCATGTTTCTTAGAGTGGCTGCTAGGCTGCTTGTTTTCGTAGCTACTGTAGTTGCAAGACTATTAGTTTACAAGGCTACTTCAGAGGTGGAGAATGTGAGCAAGAATTCGGGCCAGGTGAAATACCGCAGTGGTTGCTGTTCTTACAAGATTCAGCTGTTTTTCTTTAATAAACACTCTTTACATTGCTGCAAGCCTTTAACTGATTTCCAGAGTTCTGAAAAAGTTGATTTTGATAGTTTTTGCCAGGATTTGTGTTGCTTTTATGGAGGAGTGGAGTGTCAGAGGCTCTTACCCTGCCATTCCAGAAATGAGGTATCAAAAATGTATATGTTGGGACTCCCCTGGTGGTCCAGTGATTAAGACTCCCCCTTCCAATGCAGGGGGTGCGGGGTTTGATCCCTGATCGGGGAGCTAAGATCCCCCATGCCTCGCAGCCAAAAAAAAAAAAACGGAAACATAAAAAAAACGGAAGCAATATTGTAACAAATTCAATAAAGACTTTAAAAGTGGTCCACAGACGCACAAAGAAATGTATATGCTGAATGAGGATGTCATTCTTTACAATGATAATGATATCTGATAACATCTTGGCTATAACCGTCTTAGTAATAGTGTCTTGGTTATAAGGTGTGTCCATGCTGGTGGGCAGTAATAAATGGTTTCTCCTGGGCCACTTAAAGATCATAAAGATCCTTTAACAACAGCATTTCAGATGTGGCTTTTTCCTGCACAGTCCACAACTCTTAGAGACCTTAGCCTTTGTGTTATACCGTCAGGTCACATCTTAGGGAGCTATGACAGTGATTCTGCTGCATCACATAAAGTTAAAGCCAGTTTTTACTTTGAAGTTATTTTGAAGTCATAACAAATGTAACATGCAGTGACTACTGCCAGTTCTACTAATCTGAGGCAACACTGCACTTCTGATCTGCAGTTTCCTCATGAAAGAAGAAAAATGAAAGTAACTGCCCAGAGCTCTTATGAAGGTTAAACGAGATAATTTTTATGCCTTATCCAGAATAGAGAAGCTTTCAATATGCTATGCTCGATTCTGTAGGATGTACCAATAATCCATGGCTCTTAAGCTAACAATGCAGATTTGCCTCTGTCAGAATTAAGGGTACATCTGCATGCCTAGATGACTTTGCAGCAGTCCATTCCTGTCATCAGATAGGGTGAGTTGGTGGGCCTGTATAGAGGAGCTTGCCCTTTTTCAGAAAGGCTCTGTTATCGCGTGACTAAATGAGCCTTCCCGAAATGAAGGCTCATTAAGGGCTCTCTGAAACCAACCAGGGGGGAAAATGTCCACTGTGATAACAAGTGTTGATCATCTTTAGAATTTCGAGTGCATGAAAAGGTTGCTTTGAAAAGCATGTGGCTTTGTTGTTCTTGTCGGTCATAAAGGGGTTTTGTTGTAAGACTTTATACTTCTCAGAGTCAGCGCAAAAAAGGAGGACCTCTCTCTAAATAGCTGGGTGAGTCCTTATAATGCTTAGAAAACCATTTGGGATCGTGGGGCCATTTGCTATGACTTAAGAAGATTTAAACAAAGCCCAATTCCTATAGAAATTTAATTGATCATCTGAAAAATATTACAGCTTCTTTTGAACTTAAATGTTTATTTTTAACTCTATACTTGTATGAAGGTACAGATATAAATTCAGTGCCTTAAATAAGTTACTAATTTTTGGATACTTTTTGTTTTGCAAAGTTTAACCAGAAACTCCTCAGCTATTAAGGAGAGTATATGTTAGAACCATTTACTCATAAGTTGAATCTCTTATAATATAAATTATTATTGTTGAATTAATAACATTGTTGACATTCTGTAGGTTGGTTCAGGTTTAACCTTTCTCCAGGAAGATTAATATGATTTGTTTTTAGTATTGTTTCAAAAAATTTTAGTATCTTAACTGAATATAACTAGTTACTACCTTAACAAATATAAACATTTTAAGTACACAATGCAATTCTGCTTATATTTATGGGCAGAAAGAAGGTAAATTAGGCACTACATTTAACTGAATGGTCTCTATACATAGTACTGCAGTATCTGGGTTTACGATATTTAAACATTGTGAGTTAGATTTTGTCTTTTGTCCCCTTTATACCAAAAGTCAAGAAATCCAGGGGAAGTCTAGATTGAAGTTATTTCTGTTTACAAGCAGAAGAGTGATGCAGTAATAAAAACAAATGCAGTACAATTTTGTATCTGCCACTTTGCTGTTTTGTTTTAGGAGAAGTGGCACTGCTTCTTGTGCTCTAGCACACTTGTTTTATGACTGTAATGGTAGCTTTAAATTTTCTTTCCCCCACTGAAATATTTAAAAGTAAGAATATTTATTCCATTCTAAGAAAACTCTCTTCTCTTCCCTATCTCTGGATATATAGTCTTTTTTTTTTTTTTAATAAATTTATTTATTTATTTTCGGCTGTGTTGGGTCTTCGTTGCTGCACGTGGGCTTTCTCTAGTTGTGGTGTGCGGGCTTCTCATTGCGGTGGCCTCTTGTTGCGGAGCATGGGCTCTAGGCATGCGGGATTCAGTAGTTACAGCACGTGGGCTCAATAGTTGTGGTGCACGGGCTTAGCTGCTCCGTGGCATGTGGGATCTTCCCGGACCGGGGCTCGAACCTGTGTCCCCATGCATTGGCAGGCGGATTCTTAACCACTGTGCCACCAGGGAAGTCCCGAGTTAAATATAGTCTTGACTGAACTCCTTTGAATTGTATTATTTATGTGAGACAAATGTGAAGACCTCGGGTTTAGTAGTACAGAATATAAATCAAGTGAATTGCCTAAAATTGATTAAGGTTAAAAATATCTGATCCCTTTCTCTGTAATAAAGGTCTGTATTTTACACTGTGCTTCATTCAGTCTCCATTAACCTTTTGTTTCTTACCTCTCCATGGATGTTTTTTTAAGATTTAATTTTTTTAGAGCAGTTTTGGGTTTACTATAAAATTGAGAGAAAGATACAGAAATATTCCCTGCTCTCACACATATATAGTCTGCCCTGTTATCAACATTGCTCCCTAGAATGGCACATGTTTTACCAAGGATGAACCAATCTACTTTGACGCATCATTATCACCCAAAGTCCATGGTTTATCTAAGGGTTCACCTTCAGTGGCTTTGGACAAATGTATAATGATGCATATCCATCATTACAGCATCACACAGAGTATTTCCACTGTCCTGAAAACACCCCGGGCTCTGCCCGCTCATCCTTCTCCGGTGCCCCCACCCCTGGCAGCCACCGAGCTTTATTGTTTCCGTAGTCTTGCCTCTTTTCCAGAATCTCCATATGTTTACAGTGAAGTCCACAGAAAGCCAAAGATTAGAAGAAGGCCAGCTTGGTAGTCAGGAAGCTTAGGGATACATTTATTAGTCCAAACTTCAGTGTTTATTTTAGATATACTTAAAGTTTATTTCTAGCGAGGAGGTTGGGAGATTATGCTTGTGTTAACATCTAATTATGTTTGTTTCCCCCAGACACAGACAGCAATTCTGAGGATTCTGGAAATCCATCAACAACCAGGTTTACAGGTTATGGTTCTGTCAACCAGACTGTCACTGTCAAGCCACCTGTTCAGATTGCTTCATTAGGAAACGACGATGCAAACCTTTTAGAAGGTCCCTTAAACTCACCCAAGTATCAGCATATTTCTTTTATGCCAACTTTACACTGTGTCATGCACAATGGTGCCCAGAAGTCTGAGGTGGTCGTTCCTCCACCCAAATCTGCTGATGGTAAAACAATAGGGATGCTTGTTCCTAGCCCTGTTGCTCTCTCTGCAATAAGGGAGTCCACGAACTCAACCCCCGTCGGAATACTAGGGCCAACAGCTTCTACTGCAGAATCAGAAAAGCACCTTGAATTACTGGCGTCCCCTTTACCTGTTCCATCAACATTCCTTCCACATAGTAGTACTCCCGCTTTGCACCTCACAATTCAGAGGCTAAAACTGCCGCCGCCGCAGGGATCTTCCGAGAGTTGCACGGTGAACCTCTCCCAGCAACCAACTGGGAGTCTGAGCGTCGGATCACCAAACACTGCCTTTATTCCTGTTCATAATCCAGGTAGTTTTCCAGGATCTCCTGTTGCTACCACAGACCCCATCACAAAATCTGCATCTCAAGTGGTAGGACTAAATCAAATGGTGCCTCAGATTGAGGGAAACACAGGGACAGCCCCTCAGCCTACCAATGTGAAGGTAGTTCTTCCAGCAGCCAGCCTCTCGGCCGTACAGCCACCAGCTTCCTACCCCTTGCCAGGCTCTCCCCTTGCTGCTGGGGTATTACCCAGCCAGAATTCCACCGTCCTCAGCACGGCGGCACCGTCTGCCCAGTCCGCGGGAGCAGGCATCAGCCAGGCCCAGTCGAATGTTCCTCCCGCGGTTCCTACCCACACCCCCGGTCCCGCCCCAAGCCCGAGCCCTGCTTTGACACACAGTACTGCGCAGGGCGACAGCACGTCTTACATCAGTGCTGTGGGAAACACGAACGCCAACGGGACAGTGTTGCCTCCACAGCAGATGGGCTCAGGTCCTTGTGGTTCTTGTGGGCGAAGGTGCAGCTGTGGGACCAATGGAAACCTTCAGCTAAATAGTTACTATTATCCTAATCCAATGCCTGGACCAATGTACCGAGTCCCATCGTTCTTTACTCTGCCATCCATCTGCAATGGCAGCTACCTCAACCAAGCACATCAGAGCAATGGAAACCAACTTCCTTTTTTTCTGCCTCAGACTCCATATGCAAATGGACTGGTGCATGACCCAGTCCAAGCCAACTATGGCATGCAACAGATGGCAGGATTCGGGAGGTTCTATCCTGTGTATCCAGCACCTAATGTAGTCGCCAGCACGAGTGGTTCGGGGCCCAAGAAGAATGGGAACGTTTCATGTTACAACTGTGGTGTGAGCGGGCACTATGCACAGGAGTGTAAGCAGTCGTCCATGGAGGCCAGTCAACAAGGTAATCATGAGAGCTCCCAGAGGACTTGTTTTTGAGTGTGCCCGTCCCTCCCTCCCCTGGTGATCACGGTGATCCTGTTGAAGCAGAAAGAGCTGTTGTGTGTTTGTTTACGGATGTTGTGCTTTCAGTGACAAATCGTAAAATGCAAACGGCAAAACCTAGTGTGGACACACACAGGACACACAAACAGCGCAAGGAAGTTCAGAGAAATTCAGTTCCCAATTAAGGAATAAACCATAAAGGCACTTCTTAAGGAATATAATGGGGATTTGCGAATCTCTTGCTAGCAGCACTTTTTTTTTTAAAGCTACAATCCTGTGTCATAGAGTAAGCAACATTTTTAAATGCTGAAAAACTAGGAAGTGATAGTCATCTGACATGGAAGATTTTTAGTTGTTTGGGTCTATCTATGCATAACCAACTGGCCTCATGCTACACCCTTCCTTCCCAGCAGACTTTTTTTTTTTTTTTCAGTGCTATTGCATTTTAAAAGGCACAGAATATTTAAGCACTGGTTTTTGGAGTAAGGAGATTCAAACTGAGTTTAATATTATTACCACCAGAATAAAGAAATTGTTCTTAAATAAGTACGTGTAAGATACCAAATTCAGTGTAGACCTGAAACTGTTACCTTTCACTCACATTAGGCTTTTGTCATTTTGCCAAATCTCACACAGAAAAAAAGTCTTGACTTGGGAGTATGTGCTTGACATTTTTAAGGGAAAATTGAGTTTGATAGCTTTATGTTGAACTTAAAGCACAAACTTCATTATTACTTTTTAAAAGTCATTTTATGGACCATTTTGCGGTCCGAGTATTGCCGAAGGAGCAGCGGCTGAGGAGCATGCCCATTTGATACCTTGTAGTGGTTTGTGATGCATTGCATTGTACGCAGTGACTTAGCAGTTCTGTCTTTCCCATTTTAGGCACTTACAGACTGAGATACGCACCTCCCCTCCCCCCTTCTAATGATACGTTGGATTCTGCAGACTGAAACAAGTAAAGCTTGCCTACTTAATACACTGAAGTGTGGGGAGTCATGGTTGGGGTGTGGAGGGGAGGAAAGGAAAGGTATTTTGTTTGTGTTTCTTTGTCTATACATTTCCTAGATTTCTATGCAGTTGGGATTTTTCATTTCTCTTGTACCAATGTCCAAAACAAAAAAGAATGCATTGCTTTTGAGCCTCTGGTCTCCTGGTACAACAACAGGCTTATCTGTATGATACATGTAATTTAAACATCCAAACAAACTACCAAAAGGAAAATGTTGATGCGTGCTTTTTTTTTACACTGAATACTTGCTGTGTGCAATGTTTACTGAATCTTTAAAACTGTGTATTTGACCTTTTTTAATAACACTGGTGACAGTCCTATGGTTTTGGAAAAAAACTGTGCTTCTTCCCCAGTTTTTCTCACTTTCGTCCTACACTCCGCTTTTCTCCCCCGCCCTCACTCTTTC